TGATATTATTATTATTATTATTATTATTATTATTATTATACATACATACATATATATACACACACACAAACATACACACACACACAACACACACACACACACAGACAGACACACACACACACATATATATATATATATATACTTTAGTGATATTTCATTTTAAATATAACTACACAAGTTGTATTTTTATATTAATCTGTATCAATCTGTATTATGGTCAATATATATTCCTTTTAATCATTCATTAATTTTTCTTTTATTTCTAGTTGCTCTTGGTATTATTTTGTTTTTATTCTATTTGTTTTTCTTCTTTTTGGGGCAGGCTGAAGGGGATTTGACCCTTTTCGTCTTATGTTTTACTCTCTTATCGCTTCCTTTCTTTCACCTTTAATTTTCTCCAAGTCTTAAGGTTCATCATTCCTTATATTCATTCTTTTTTTTCTCCCCTCTTTTTATTGCCACGTAATATTGATTATATACTTCCCTTTTCACTATTTTGTTCATTCCTTTTTTTATTTTTCGAATTCATTCTTTCTTCCTTCCACACCAACCATGTTAACTCTCTGTTTATCTCTTTTTCTTTCAATCTCTCGTTATAAAAATGTTTCTCCTTTTACCCTCTATTTTCACATCACTTTACCCACTCGACCTCTTTTTGTCCAAGGGTTAACTGACCTTCAACCAAAAATTCCACACCAGCTTTTCGTATAGAGATTCTTTTTTTTTTCTTTCTGAAATAAAATGTGTGATTACCATGTTGGAAGAAAAAAAAAAGTTGAAAAGTGAGAGAAACAAAGGTAATAGCGTTGACCCCGACCATGACATTTTGTACGCTACCTTTAAGCTCTCCTTTACTTCAGTGTCCGTACACCTCTAACCCTTGTCCCATGTCCTCACCCGAATTTCGTGTCGGGCAGTCCTCTCGTGAATGTCAGGTACGAACGCGATCAAAAAGGCTTTGCCCTGGTATGAATTCCAATCTTTCTTCCGTTGTTACCAGCAGGAACCGGTGCCAAATCTTCAATAGGTGCAACGAAAATGTTAGCTTCTCGTAAGCAAAATGGAAGCATAACACGACTTTCTGACAATCCTTTTAAGAATTGTTGTTGTTGGTTAAATATTATTATTATTATTATTATTACTACTACTACAACTACGACTACTATTACTTTTGTTTTAGACAAGATATAGCCTGATTATTACCCATGACATATTGCAATAGATATTTGAAAAGATATATGCATTCTTTAGTTTAACTATATGGCTGAACAATCATCGTTGTAATGACTGCATAGCAGTTGTAAACATCACTTCTAGAATCTATAGTCGGAAGATTCACCAGGACATTTATTTGCTAGACAATGATATGACTTTCACTTAAACTTTTATTTTAAACATAATTTGGGTTTCAAAGTTACTCTGTTATAATAAGAATAATCAGACCCTGTTACAGAAATATGACCAGTAACAATTTGATGGGAACTGACAATACACACAGATAGAACAATCAAATCTAATCGCCCACACATCGTGATCAAAGACAACAAGAACAGAATGGGCTTGCTTATTGACATAGCAGTCCCTGCAAATGATATCGTAATGTATCATTGAAGATCTTCAAAATACAATGATCTTAAAGTAGAAATCTTGAAACTGTGACACCTGAGGACATCAATAATTCCATTTGTAAATGGAGCCCACGGATTGAGTGGAAAAAGATCCGATAGGAGGGATTCCTGGTAATCCGTGCCTTAAAGACGTACAAAAAATAGAGTGCTACTATAGTTTGATATTTACCATTCATTTTCTATTATATTATGATTTTCTACTATGGTATGGTATTTACCGGCTGTTGAAAGTATGAAATATGTTAAGGTTAGAGTTAAAGACAGTGAACAGTGAACTGGTTATGTATTAAAATCATTAACAATTTTTTATACAAAAAAAAAAATCTTTCTAAAATTCATCAAATAGCGATTTTAATGTTTGTAAACTGATTTTATGTCCTTTTACAAAACAGTAAGCAGGTTATCGTTTTTCCTGGGCATTTTCCAGCAATAATGAGTGCATCGTCATCTACGGTAGGTCGCAAATTCCTCGGTAGATCTCATACGATATTAGAACCAAAAAGTGTTGCCACAGGTACAGCTCACGCATTACGAAGACGTTTATCTACGCAAATTCTGTTCTTGTGGTCTTTGATTACGATGGCTTGGCGATTAGATTTTCTTTTTTATTATTATTTTTATTTTCTTTGATTTCTGGCGTTTAAACATTTCTTTCCGGGTCCCGTCCAGTGACCTAAGGTTAGAAATGACATCATGACACTTTCCACTAGAAAAAAAAAATACATAGATAAAGCCCTTCGTAAAGTGTGGGCTGTACTTGTCAGAACAATTTTTTGTATCTCCTTGAGGCATGGATTTCCAGGAATCCCTTCAATTAGTCTACTGCAATCTTTTCCAACCAGTCCTAGGGCTCCAACTACAACAGGGATTGTTGATGTTCCCATATGCCACATTTTCGAGATTTCTATTTCAAGGTCCTTGTATTTTGACAGCTTTTTGAATATCTTCAAAAATACATTGCAGTCAGCAGGGACTGATATATCAACAAGGAGGCACTGTTTTTGTTTGTGGTCTTTAATAACAATATCTGGGCGGTTGGCTTTGATTGTTCTGTCAGTGTGTATTGTGTAGTCCCATAGAATTGTAACAGGTCCTATCTCCGAAACCGGGTCTGGTTGGTGTTCATACCAGTTTCTTTCAGTTTTCTTCCCGTAGAAGTTGCAGATTTTCCAGTGCAGATATTGGACCATTATTATTATTATTATTATTTGGTGTCACATTGCTTAGTTTTGTACAAGATTTCCTAAAGACTCTACTCTAAATATCATGAAAGTGTAAGTTTTTTAATGTGCTACCAAAAAAATGAGTTGCTATACATTTTGTCGGCGTCAAAAAAATAGCAATGACTTTTCTACTGCTGTAACGTAGATTCCCGGTCTTTTATTTGAAATATTTTCATGTTTATTGTTGTGGTGAATGTTTTTCTTTGGTTCTTCGATTTCACGGCGAAATAATGAATAGCGTCACGGTTTAGAGAATCGGAGAGCCGAGTTCGATTTCGCTTCGAATCCATTATATTTACATGCGTGCAAATTCCCTTCTTCTCCCCCACTAGCTATGGGTAAATAGCAGGACAGACTTGCGTGGCAAACGGTCTAGGAGAAGGTAACTCAAATTAAAAACCAGCTTGGAGAGGGCTGTGCTACCTTGCCCTAGAAACACCACTTCTAGAGCGGCTGAAGCACATTTGGTGCCCCAAAAAACCTGATGGGTCGCGGGACTCGTGCAACTTCGATTTCAAGAATTTAATCTTCATGACTTTACTATTAATTTGGCAGCTCGGACTCAACATGTTAATGCAGAAATACGTAGAAGTAACATTTCTATACTTTTTTCTTCTCGCACTTTCCGACTATGGAATTCTCTACCAAATTATTTTTTTTCTGTCAAATATTATTATTATTATTATTATTATTATTATTATTATTATTATTACTGTCAAAATATTGCTGAACATTGTCACTGTCTTTTTTTTCATTTTAAATTTCCTTAAATCGTGCTCTTCTCTAATGTTGAAACAATTTGAAAGCGTGACACCAATCATTTTTCTTCTCTTCCTTCCTATTATCTGTGTATGTTATGTTTCCTGTTTTATATCCTGTAGAGCCGGGGCCAAACTATGGTCGTTAGGCACTATAGGAGAATTGTCATTTGAGTGCACATTTCTTTGTATATGTGATGTCCCTAAGAGGGCGATCTTCTGGGCAACATGTATGTTGATGCTACCTCGGACACTGTTAGTAAAACTGACCGTTCCTTTTCTCGCCAGGCCCAGAGCATCGATCACTATTGGTACAGTCTCAGTTTTTATTCCCCACATCCCGTTAATCTCGATCTCCATGTCCTTAATTTGAACAATTTTTCGATAATTTTCATGGAGGTGAATCTCTCAGATGATACTGCTATGTACCCTTCCTGAATTTCTTGACTTTTATGATAATTTCAGATTTGTTGGCTTTAATTTACCTGTCAGTCTGAATTGGTATGTCCCAGAAGGTAGTTATATCGTTATTTTGGTAACTGTGTCTGGTTGGTGCTCATATCATTTCTCAGTGGTTTCGATTTTGTGCTTCATGCTTATCTTCCAGTGCACATATGTAGCTACATTGTTATGTGTGTGGGGATATTCATTTTTTTCTATGGTCGACAGATTCATCCTATTTTCCGTAGATCCTGCATTTTGCATTAGTTCCATCTTTATGTGACAGTGATAGGATCTAGTTACGAGGTTTTGGCCCTGAGCTGCAATATTTATGCCTTCTGTCTCAGCTTTCAACCAGGTTCTCCTCAGCCACTGATGTGTTTTCTGTTGGTCGACATCTGCTTCTTTCGTTTTTTTTTCAGGTTTTTAACATGCAACTTCTTGTCCTTCTATTTTAATTGTAATTTCATTTGTCTATGTTGTTTTTTTGTTTTTTTTTTTTACTCGTTTGGCAGAGATGATATTTGCTTTGTTTTTGTTAGTATGGAACTTTGTTGTTGATGAAATTGATTTGCTGCTTTACTATTTGTAGGAGGGTGTCATTGGTTTTTGTGAGGTATGCTTCCAGTATGATTGTTATCGTTTTTAGAATTGGCTCAACTTGGATTAGACCTCAGTTCACAAAAATACTTGGTACGTACAGCGTATCAATATCTGATTTTGTGTGGTTCATTCTCATTTGGGTAAGCATTTTTCCGGTCTTGTCATCCCTTCTTTTTATGTCAAAATATTATTATTATTATTATTATTATTGTTGTTGTTGCTGTTCCTGTTGTTGTTGTCTGTGCTATTGAAATTGACGGAATTATTTATAATTTGAAAAACCATAAGTTAGCGGCCGAAAAGAGGAAATATGTTGTTCTTTCAGATTTGTCACCAAATTCGTCACCATGCCCGCATTTTCATCTATCTATCTATCTATCTATCTATCTATCTATCTATCTATCTATCTATCTATCTATCTATCTCAGCTTGTTCATGATCTATCACAGGTTGTTCACATCTATCTATCTGTCTATCTATCTATCTATCTATCTATCTATCTATCTATCTATCTATCTATCTATCTATCCCACTTATGCTTATGCGTACGTGTATGCGTATATATTTTTTATGCATATATATATATATATATATATATATATATATATATATATATATATATATATAAATATTATATAAATATATATATATGCGTGTTTGTGTGTGTATGTGTGCGTGCCTAAAAGTTTACTGTATGTATTTTATACACATACGTGCATTTAAATACAACACTGAAAAAAAAGCTGCCCAAGCTGTACATAGCAAATGCCAGAAAATAAAAAATATATATATATATATATATCATTTAGCGCTCTACGTCTTCATAGCTTCCCTGAATATATAATTCTAACCATTTTTTTTATATTTTCACTCCTCAGTATATATAATTCCATGAAGAGGATAATTATTTTAGTCTGATGAAGACCTTTTGTGGGATGAAACGGGTTACATAGAGTTTTTTTTTAGTTTTTTTCGTAATTCAATTAAGTACCATAGCTTAACATATAGAGATTGTATATAATATTACTCCCTTGCATGTATATATATATATATATATATATATATATATATATATATATATATATATATATATATATATATATATATATGTCTAGTGTTTATTAGTGCGTGCTTGCTCGTAGGAATATATATATATATATATATATATATATATATATATATATATATTGCATATATATATTTTTGATTATATATATATATATATATATATATATATATATATATATATATATATATATATATATATATATAGGCCTTCCCTCAGCAAACTTCAGTACGTACATTTTTTCTTATTTTTTCTATTTTTGAAATATATTTGTTTGTTTTCTCCTTATTTTTCAGAATTAATTCCCTGCCTAAATATATCTTTTATTCATGGCTTCGTCGAGCATAAATGAAAAATACGCATGAAGGCCTCGCCCGTTTGGAATTTCAAGTGACGGATGAAATCAACCACAAAGCCCGTCTGATGAAACAGTGTGTTGCTATTGTGCGACTGAATTATCTGCCCGGATGACTTCGGATCGAATCCCTCGACTTCTCACGACCCAAATATGAAAATCAAGCGTGCACCTACACTTAGAGTCAGAGATAAAACACACATTTATTACAATGCAAACACCTTATATATATATATATATATATATATATATATATATATATATATATATTGAATCATATTTTAAATAAATAATTATATATATATATATATATATATATATATATATATATATATATATAAAGAAATATAGTCTTAAGGTGTGCTATATTTATGGGATAAAGTGCTCAATATCAGAGATAGAGCGTGTGTAAATATAAAAGTGAACATAGTAGTCAACACTTACAGGCCTCTAAGTGTTGACTTCTATGTTCCCTTTTATATATATATATATATATATATATATATATATATATATGCCGTATAAGTGTACAGAGACATGCATATATACATACATATATTTATATACGTGTATATAGTAATTGCAAGGTTAATATTAATCGTTTCCTTATTAGGAATATTTCAGCGTTTATTAACCGATCGGCCACTGCAAAAACTTTCCCTTAAAACCACGTCTCCATCGCATCGAGTCTCTTCATCATCTTTGAGGATATCGTCCCACATTCACTGCCGTAAAGAAGGACAAATGTCACGTAACAGCTCAGTATTCTTTTCTTCGTCCTTGACCATCAAATTATGCCTGCGGATCTCAGTGTCGCATTTACCGTTCTTTGTCAGAACTCTTCCTAGATATTTAAATTTCCGCGTCTGCGTAATTCTAGTATTCTTGACCTTCAAATCGCATCGGGATCATCCTTTTTCCTGATGACCATACATTTTCTTGTAGTTTATGCTTAGTCCCTTCTTCACACTCTCCTTCGAAGGTAGGGGATTTTGTAATTTCTTTTCCGTGTCTTCTATCAGTTCTGTGTCACCTGGATATATTATGTCAATCCCGGCAGGGTTTCCAATTCTTTCAGTATTGCCTCGATGTAGGTTGAAGAGGTCTGGAGAGAAGACGCATCCTTGCCTTACGGCCCTTTATATTTTTGCATATGCGCTGAACTTTTGCTGCCAGTCTAGGGTCTTGATTAATCTAATATCTTTCCCGAATATATCAAGGTTGCTGAGCAGTTCCAGCAGATCCTTGTGGCGTACTTTGTCGAAGACCTTTGCACAGTCTATAAAAATAGATACACGTCCTTCTGCATTTGTATTGATTTTTCTGATAACATTCTGAGCATGAATATAGCGTTCCTTGTTCCCGTGTCTTTAATGAACCCGTACTGTTCTCGTTCTGTTCTGCTTCGCGCTCTAATCATTTAGTTAAATAAGTTAAAAAAAAAAGAGAATGATAAAAATATCGTTAGTAACGCTATACACGTTGCCATAAACAAAAGAACGATAAACAGCTAAACATCATATAAAGTTAAACAACGGAAAAGATGGATATTTGCTGTATATTTTATAATACGATACTATGTGAATATAACATGCATTATTGTCGTATACATTTTAGTAAAACATCAGTTTTATCAAAAGTATGTCTATTTTAAATACAGCTGTAATATTAACCACAGGAAATGGATATATAGTTTGGTTAACGGCGTAGTCAGGACCAGCAGTACATATGCTAATTTTATATCTCGTGTATGATGTGACCCCTTAAAATTAATTTCAAAATTAGGTCATAAAAATTGGCATGTTATCCGAGTATATACGGTACATATCAAATCAAAACTCAGTTGCGTCAATATACCCTCCTCTGTGTAAGATATGAAAACTCTTTATTACTATACTACAGATGATTCCTTGAAAAACATTTTGAAAGACCACATGAATATTTATTCACACTTAAATTAGACGTGTATTTTTCTTATTTTAATTCCTTATTTTGCAGAGGGTAATCTTTTCAGTCACTCAATTTAGTGTCATACGTGATACACGCTTCGGCGACCATGTCTCTTTCGATCCATGCCTAACGAGGCAGAAGATTTTCTGGCACTAGGTTGGAATTTCTTTCTGCGGTAGACTGGTTGCCAACCAAGTCTATATAAGCCAGTCTGTTCTGCTATTCTACCCATATTGGGGAGGGAAGAAGAGATGCATTCACACCTTTCCCAAGGGTATTTGCGCGTGAGTGAGTGTAACGAACTCGAGAAGTCATCCATTACTTCACAACGCACATCCACGTAGCCGTATTTTTGTGTTCAAATAATGAAATCTGTGAAATATGCGGGTTCCAGCTGAAACCTGATTTCAATATTTTTTTAACGCTTAGAAAATTATAATTAAAACCAGGATGTAGATATTGAAGTGTATTTTAACCTATGCCCACCTTTGTAGCATTTACGTCACTTTTCTAGTTCATGCAGTTCAATAAAATAATCCAGGTGCATGTTATACGTATACTATAAGCCAAAGTTTGAGGCCATCCTCGTGGTTTAATAATTAGTATGTTTCCTACTGAGATAGGATGCTGTCATTATTTAATCCCTTTTTGTATGATCTCCAGTTTTTCAGAGATAAGGGCATTTAAATTTAAAATCCACTAGGAGTAAGATTAACCTTAACCAGTTAAGTAGATTAGATCAAATGAGTTTAAAGCGTTAATATGCTTTAAACCGTAACGGGTTAATTTTGCTGTTATTATCATTATTTTTATTTTATTTCCTTTAATTTATGGTGTATACTCAATTTTTTTCCGGGTCACAACAAAAAACCTAAGGTCAGAAATGGCATTATGAAATTTTCCAGTGAGCATTTTGGAGAAACAAAAACCCTAAAATGACCTCAGATCACACATATTTTACATACATAAAACACTCTCTAAATTGTGGGCTGTACTTGTGAGTATAATGCTTTGTATTTATTTAACTACTAGCAGCATGGCCCGGCGTTGCCCGTGCTTGATTAAAAAATCGTACGACTCATACAGCAATCGCTATCACTTGACTTAAAATATTTTTGCCTTCCTTGCCTTTAAAGGAGTGCCCTTTGTCGTGCTGATGTTGCTACATGCCTTACTTCTTGCTTATCTCACACTGCGAATTTTTCTATACTAAACATTAAATCTGTTACGACTAAACAAAATGAACACAAAACGATCAGCTTTAAAAAAGGACTCGTAACTGGAAAAACCGAATAAAAAAAGAATGTTAACAACAAATGCTTTTTCACATCCAACCCAGTTCTTCGGAATCAGAATCAACGTTTTTTTGATAGCATGCTAGTTAACATTCGTGTCAGTCAGCTGTTGGTTCTCACGCTGGCCAATAGAATCTTCCTCCCTATTCGCTACTACTCTGGCCACTAGAAAATGGCTGCAAACTACAGGAAAACTGCTGTAGAAGCATGAAAAAAATCGATTATTTCCACTATCGATGGGAGTTGGGAAATGCAAAGTCAGTGTTGGTCTTCCCGCTAACATGGAACATGTGCATGTAAATTTTGGTGCAAATCCCTCGAAAATTGCAGGCCGTGCATTCGTTACACACACACACACACACACACACACACACACACACACACACACACACACACATCCTGCCTTGTATAGATAGAGATTGTGCTTACAATAAGACTATCGAAACCTTTTCCAATCAATCCGAGGGCTCCAACTAAAGAGTGTTCCATTAAGACGGATCAAAATCAGTAATCAATAAATCAGTGTTATTGGTGAAAATTTATTTCTCTATTAGATCATGTTATTTACGTCATGGCAATTATGTGTGAAAAATAATATCACCCAAATGTCCGCTCCTCGATCTCATCAATATGCCTTATTATCTCATCCTTCAGCTGTTAAATTATTGTTGACTTGTTTGCATAGACCTTACTTTTGAGATGTTCCCAAAGGAATAAATCTAAATGCGTCAAGTCGCACGATCGTGGTGACCAATAAACTTCGATGTTTCGAGAGATGATGTGACCTCGGAACATCTTATTCAAATTCTAGTTGAACGTCCATTTTCGTAATAGGCTTCGATAAATTTAACACGTTGTTTGATTGTTAATCTTTCTATG